TCAGATGAAACCAAAATTGAGATCTTTGGCATTAACTTGATGCACCGTGTTTGGAGGAAGAAAAATGCTAACTATGACCCTAAGAACACCATCCCTACAGCCAAGCACAGAGGTGGAAACATGCTTTGGGTTGTTTCTCTGCTAAAGGTACAGGCCAACTTTGCTGCATTGAAGGGCCAATGGACGGGGCCATGTATTGTAAAATCTTGGATGAGAACCTTCTTCCCTCAGCCAGAACACTGAAGATGGGTCGTGGATGGGTCTTCCAGCATGATAATGACCCAAAATATATCACCAAGGCAACAAAGGAGTGGCTCAGAAGAAGGACATGAAGGTCATGGAGTGGCCTAGCCAGTCTCCAGACCTTAATCATATAAAAAAATTATGGAGGGAGCTGAAACTTTGAGTTACCAAGTAGCAGCCAAGAAACCTTAAGGATTTAGAGAAGATCTGTAAGTAACAGTGGATCAAAATCCCTCATGAGATGTGTGCAAACCTGGTAACCAACTACAGGAAGCATCTTACCTCTGTGCTTGCCAACAAAGGTTTTTCCACCAAGTTTTTTTCTAAGTCAAGTTTTGCTTGGGGATCAAATACTTATTTTACTCACTGAACTGCAACTCATTTAGAACATTTGTATCGTGTTTTTTCTGAATTGATTGGTTGATATTCTGTCTCTCTCATTTAAAGTACACTTATGCTAACAATTATAGATCCTTAATTTCTTTGTAAGTGAGTAAACTTACAAAATCTGCAGGGGATCAAATAATTATTTTCCCCACTGTAGGTTGCAATATAAGAGGGAGAGACTAGGCAGATTTTATCTTGAAAGAAACATAGAGAGAGGTGATGGCCACAAACATTTTTTGAGAGCTGGTGCACTGTAATATGCCACCAATTTTGAGGCATAATGCAAGATTTTCCTGGAATGGAACAGAAATTTGGCAGCTGAGCTCCAGTTGTAGAAACATTTTGTGGCACCTTTACTGTGCTAAAGCACTATAATTGTCTGCAGACTCTGGGGCACAACACAAGATTTTACCATACTGAACACATTAGTAATTTGGGAGCTAAGGTCTAGCTGTGGACACATTGGCACCTTAACAGTGCCTGGGCACTATAATTGGCTGCAAGTCTTGAGAAAACAGGACTCAACCCTGCACAGAACATTAAGGTACTGGAATAGGTAGCAAACTTTGTGTCTCAGTGCAGGATTTAACCCTCAGCAAACATTAGAAACTTGACAGCTGAAGTCCGGCTGCAGAAAAGTGTTGCAATGCCTGATCACCAGAACAGGACAGAGGTTGCAAGAGCTGGTAACAGTGGCAGGTACCATTTTTTGAGTAGGGGGTGCAAGGCAATTAAATGTTTAGTGTCAGTAGCAGCAGGGGTTTTGTAAACATTTTAATCCAAGAATCGTTGATTTTAATGAAAACCTGGGGTCATTGCACAGGCATTTAAATATGAAAGACCTCATTGGCTGAAAATTGCTTGCAGCAGAGGACTCAGAGTGACAACACTGTCCTCAACAGTCTCAATCCACCCACATATAATGCCTGGGGTCTGGGAGGGGTCAAATATCCACCTTGAAGCCTGTCCCATTTCACCTCCTCACATCCAGCTCCCTAATCCTACTCTTACATATTTTTCCTCTCTGTCTGGAGGCAATAGGCAAGGATCCTACTAGTTCTGAGACAGCAACAGTTCTCCTCTTGCTCCTTCTGTTGTGTTTCCACTGCCCAATCAGGCCACAAAAGAAAATTAGAGGTATTGTATCACTAATCCCCATCTCATCATGACTCAGCATTTAGGTCATCAAAATGCTGCACACATCCTGAATGATGAGACATTGTTGCCATGAGAAGCCTGTCTTCATACTATAATTGCATAGGTCCTCATTGACGACACACTCTAACATGGCCAATGTTTGGTTTCAGTGTCTGGGGGTGTCACAGCAAAGGGAAGTTGGTATGCAGCACATGTTGATGCTGCATTTCTGCCAAATGAGCCGTATGACTGCCTAAAGTGGCCACAAACCCTTTTGGACTGAAGAAGGGCCTCCTGGATGCCAGGGTATTTCATAATGAACTTCTGCACCATCAGATTGAGGACATGTATCAAGCAAGGTTCATGTGTGATTTTTCCCAGGCAAATGGTGGCCAGCAGGTTATTGACATTGTCACACACAATCTTGCCTAGCTGAAGATGACATGAGGTCAGCCAGCATCCTCTTGGCCTGGGTGTGCAGCAGAATCACTAACAGCTTTGGCTCAGTGTGGCTCCTGTCCCCCAAGCATACAATTTGCAACAAAGCATGGCAACATTTAGCCTGGGATGTTACATATGATGTGGGGCAATTAGATTATGGGTGTGTCTGACGTAGAGTACAAGTGATGGGAGAAATGCTGCCTCTGAGGAGTCAGAGGATGAGTCCAGTGAGGAAGATGGGGTACAGCGGACTGCACTTTATCTATCAGACAGGACACGTGGCGGCACCACCAACTCCATCAGAGAGCCTTGTCTCTCTTCTGCCCTCAAACATCTTATCAAACAGATATCAGTTTCATCATATGCCTTACAAGCCAGTAATGGCTTATAAACAATAAACCAACACCGGAAGTGACAAAATCCTCATTGCTTCTGGTTTCATACACCATAATGGGGAACAGAAGTTCGTCCTTCATCTCTATGGTAAGCTGACTCAAGTGCCTACATCAGTCCCAGGCTCCTTTCCTGGTGGAATGGAAGAGCCGCAGACCCTCCCCACTTCCCCCACTGTAAAAGTGATCCAATCACTTTTACTTTATAGCAGTAGTAAAGGCTGTGCAAAAAAAAACTTCCCCCTACAAGTCAATGGCATAATTTACTAGTATGAACTGCATACTAACAGATTATGAAAGACTGACCTTAAAATGAAGCCCTCCACTGACAGGGCTTCCATCTTCACCTGGTCTTCCTTCCAGGTTCGCAGGCTCTGGCCATTTGAATGGCTAAGCCATGATGATGTCACTCCTGAGCATGTGCATAGAAGCCACAATCATGGCACAGTGCTCTGAATGGACTTCATAATGAATAAGCCGTCCATTCAGAATTCAGCGCGCATGCGAAGGTGATGTCACCAGCTGCAGAAATAGTGAATATATCCTACACAGCATGCATGTTTAGGAGTTATTTCTTGTACCTATAGGTGAGATTCAATATAAACTTACCTGTAGGTACAAGTCACCAAGCAATGCTTGCTGCTGCTTTAAAGAACATCACTGACTCGAAAAAAAAAACAAAACTATACCAGGATCATTTCTTATAAGTGACGACTCAGAAAAAATTAATCTAAGATTACCAAATCACGCCAGATGCCACTAAACAAACCTCTCAGTTATATTATATTGCTGCCACTTTTCTTCCAATTTAAAACATACATTATATATTATCACCCCTAATTTTAGTGATTAATAGCGGCGCATGACATATGCGACACATTCAATTCTAATTCACATTCATGTGTGTCATTTTCTGTCTTCATTAACATTCCAGAACAAAGCCTTTAATTAGCCTAATGATAAAAGGTATCCAAATGTTGAGATCAAGAGGTTCCTCCAAGAATCACCTTTATCATGAATGTTTGCCAGGATCATAGTAAATACTCCACTCCATTGTTACATAGAAAGAGAAAAAATTTCGCTCCAAATCATGTATTACCCAAGGTAAACAACTTTAATAAGCCAAATATTGCACTTACAGCAATTAAAAACTCAATAAGCCTTTTAAAAACATATCATTCAGTGATTCAGATGCCACATGGTGCTCTCGCCACCTCCGGAACTGCCGGACAGAGTGCCGTCACATCACTTCCAGTTACGGATCTGTGTCACTTCCGGTCCGCCGCACCATCACGCACTGACGCGTTTCATCATATCCTGACTTAATCATACGGATGACGGTGTGGTTCAGCTGATTGCTTATATTGGAGAGCACTAATTAGATCACCAGATTGATAATTACATTTGATTACACATGTGTCTCTCAGGAAACAGATCATCCTGTCTCACAGGAAATTAGGATATTTACTGGCAAACATTAGGCTCCATAAATAATACAAAATAGGGCAAATACACCAAACGAAATTTCCATTGTTATCATTCAACATTACTCACAGCATCAGCAAAGGCTTTGTTCTGAAATGTTAGTGAAGACAGAAAATGAAACACATGAATGTTAATTAGAATTTAATGTGTCGCATATGTCATGCGCCGCTATTAATTACTAAAATTAGGGGTGATAATATATAATGTATATACCAGGATCATGGCTGCAGCTTACAGGTATGTCCGTTTGCAGGAAGTGGCTAACATACAGTCAGGTCCATAAATATTGGGACATCGACACAATTCTAACATTTGTGGCTCTATACACCACCACAATGGATTTGAAATGAAACTAACAAGATGTGCTTTAACTGCAGACTGTCAGCTTTAATTTGAGGGTATTTACATCCAAATCAGGTGAACAGTGTAGGAATTACAACAGTTTGCATATGTGCCTCCCACTTGTTAACCACTTGCCTACCAGGCACTTTATACCCCCTTATTTACCAGGCCAATTTTCAGCTTTCAGCGCTGCCGCACTTTGATTAACAATTGCGCGGTCATGCAACATTGTACCCATATGAAATTTTGATCATTTTTTTCTCACAAATAGAGCTTTATTTTGGTGGTATTTAATCGCCACTGGGTGCTTTACTTTTTGCGCTATAAATAAAAAAATTGCAAAAAATTTGAAAAAAAAACAAAAACGTTTCTTTGTTTCTATTATAAAATTTTTCAAACAGGTATTTTTTCTCCTTCACTGATGTACGTTGATGAGGCAGCACTGATGGGCACTGATAGGCGGCACTGATAGGCAGCACTAAAGGGCACTGATAGGCAGTACTAATGAGGTGGCACGGATAGGCGGCACTGATAGACAGCACTAATGAGGTGTCACGGATAGGCGGCACTAATATGCAGCACTGATAGGTGGCACTGATAGGTGACACTGATGATGGGTACTGATAGACGGCACTGACTGGCATCACTGCTGGGCACTGACTGGCACAACCCCTGGGCACTGACTGGTGGCACTGACTGGCAGCACTGCTGGGCTGCACTGGTGGATGGCACTGGTGGGCAGCACTGGTGGGTGGGCACAGGTGGGTGGCACTGGTGGGCACAGGTGGGTGGGCACAGGTGGGTGGCACTGCTGGGCACAGGTAGGTGGCACTTCTGGGCACATGTGTGTGACACTGCAGAGTGGCACAGGTGGGTGCACTGCTGGGCACAGGTGGGTGCACTGCTGGGCACAGGTGGGTGATCTGCTGGGCACAGGTGGGCGGAGCTAGTGGGCGCACTGCTGGGCACAGGTGGGCGGAACTTGCGGGTGGCACTGCTGGGCACCGATCATCAGGGCACTGATCATCAGTGCCCTGATGATCGGTGCCGATCCCCGCTCTGACAACTGCCGGTTCTCGGCAGTACTTTCCTCACGATCTGACAGCGTGAGGAAAGTGCAGCCGAGAACCGGCACTTGCATTTCCCTCTGATCAGCGTGTCATTGGACACCGCTGATCACGTGGTAAAAGGCCGCTGTGATCGGCCTTTTACCACATCACGTGATCAGCTGTGTCCGTAGGACACAGCGATCACGGAGATCGCCGGGTGCGCGCCCCCTGGGGCGCGCAGGAGAGCGCGTTCTGGGAGGCCGTCATATGACGTCCACCCAGAACTGGCCGGCCGCAGTGCAGCCGTCATTCGGCTATCTGCGGTCGGCAACTAGTTAAGGGACCAAAACTAATGGGACAATTGGCTTCTCAGCTGTTCCATGGCCAGGTGTGTGTTATTCCCTCATTATCCCAATTATAATGAGCAGATAAAAGGTCCAGAGTTCATTTCAAGTGTGCTTTTTGCATTTGGAATCTGTTGCTGTCAACTCTCAAGATGAGATCCAAAGAACTGTCATTATCAGTGAAGCAAGCCACCATTAGGCTGAAAAAACAAAACAAACCTATCAGAGAGATAGCAAAAACATTAGGCGTGGCCAAAACAACTGTTTGGAACATTCTTAAAAAGAAGGAACGCACCGGTGAGCTCAGCAACACCAAAAGACCCGGAAGACCACGGAAAACAACTGTGGTGGATGACAGAAGAATTCTTTCCCTGGTGAAGAAAACACCCTTCACAACAGTTGGCCAGATCAAGAACACTCTCCAGGAGGTAGGTGTATGTGTGTCAAAGTCAACAATCAAGAGAAGACTTCACCAGAGTGAATACAGAGGGTTTGCAAGGGAGTTTTCCCCAGAGATTAGTGAATACGGTGAATCACTGCTGACTTCCATCATCCAATCACATGCAAGCAAAAATACAGTTATTTTTTTCCTTTCCCGTGATTGGGTATTTTTTGCAAAGTGAAATTGCACCACATTCACACCTGAAGATGACACATCTCGCTCACCCAGCGCTTACCGACACACCTTGAGGTATTTCAAAGAAAGTATTAGGCTAAGGATAATCTAAATAAAGAGAGAATTAGCAAATGTACTTATGACAACAATAAGACAATACTGTTACTCTCAGAGATATGTTTAACCACTTCAGTACCGGGCACTTGTACTCTCTTCCTGCCCAGGCCAGCTTTCTGCGCTGTCGCACTTTGAATGACAATTGCACGGTCATGCAACAATGTACCCATATGAAATTTTTATCATTTTTTTTTAACACAAATAGAGCTTTCTTTTGTTGGTATTTAATCACCACTGAGTTTTTTATTTTTTGCTATATAAAACAAAAAACACCTGAAACTTGAAAAAAACTCACTTTTCTTCATTTCTGTTATAAAATTTTGCAAATAAATAAAATTTCTTCATAAATTTAGGTCAAAATGTATTCTGCTACATTTCTTTGGTGAAAATAATAATAATAGTTGAATTTGTATAATTTTTCAAATGTTCTATTTTTTTATTTACATTTTTTTCTTTTTTTTTACTATTTTATTTTTCAGCACACTATGACCAAAGCAATACAATGTTACCATAGTAACATTGAACTACTCTGGGCAAGTGATCAGTATTTTTTTTGTTTAGCACATTAAATATTATTCCTTTAAAAGGGGGTCCCTCTCAGGTATTGGGATTACAATAATGATCACTTAATTCATTGATTGTGGTAAATTACCTGTCTTGGATGCTTCATTAAGGACTTTGAGAAGCTCGTGTAGGAGAACGATGCTGTAGTGTTTATAAATCTCTGCTGGCTATTTACTAGCAAATTATGAAAGACTTACCTGTGAAATTGACAGGGAGTCCATCTTCACCTGGTCTTTCTTCTGGGTTTGCGAGTTCCACTCATTTGAATGGCCAAGCCACGTCAGTCCCGCGCATTCATGCTGGAGTCATGGATGCGGCACAACTCTCTAAAGGGATGGCATGCGTTTATGGAGAGCACAGTGTACATGCACGGCTGATATCAGCGGCTGCTTCACATGTAAATATCTCCTAAACGGGAGATATTTACTGTACCTACAGGTAAGCCTTAACCATTTGCCCTCCTGAGGATTTCCCACCCTTCCTGACCAGGCTATTTTTTGCATTACGGCGCTGTGTTACTTTAACTGACAATTTGTGCGGTCATGCAGCGCTGCACTCAAATAAAATGTACGTCCTTTTCTTCCCATGAATTGAGCTTTCTTTCAGTGGTATTTGATCACCTGTGCGGTTTTTTTTATTTTTTGCGCTATAGACAAAAAAAGTCCAACAATTTTGAGAAAAAACCCCCAATATTTTTGACTTTTTGCTATTAAACATATATCCAGTAAAAAAAAAAATCAAATTTCAGCATACATTTACACCAAAATGTATTCTGCTTCATGTCTTTGCTAAAAAAAAAAAATCCCAATATGTGTACATTAATTGGTTTACATGAAAGTTATAGCGTTTATAAATGGCGGTATATATACTGGAATTTTTTTATTTTGTATATTTACTAGTAATGGCAGCGATCAGCAACTTATAGCAGGACTGCGGGGCTGCGACAGGCATTCTGACACTAGGGGAACTGACTTGGTGTCACTGACTTCCCCAGTGACACCAATACAGAGATCAGTGCTATAAAAAAAAAAACACTGACACTGTACTAATGGCACTGGGCAGGAAGGGGCTAACATTAGGGGCGATCAAAGGGTTAATTGTGTGCAGGGAGTGTTTTACATAGTGGGCAGTGGGTGTGGGCTTCACTGTAATCACACTGCTCTGGATGGTTGTGCTGTGCACAGCCATCCAGAGCAGTGTGCCCGAGCTGACAGGGAGGAGAACTGTTAGTAAACAAAGCAGTCATCCTCCCTGTCGGAGATGCTCGTTAATCATTGGGAACCGGCGGGTAATCATGGGACCCGGCAATTGACAGTGAATGGCGGCGCAGTTAGGGCACTTGCCCCTACGCAGAAACACAAAATCCTGTATATATATATATACGTGGTTTTGCGCACCCCTGCTGCCCTGTAGCAGTATATCTGCTACAGGGTGGTCGGGAAGTGGTTAATATAGGCTTACCTGTAGGTAAAAGACAACAAAGGGAGTTTACTCTCATATTAAAGCCCAAATCAGGGCACATAAAACTCACCAGTGTTACAACAGTTATATAGGGGAAAGCACTACTCCTTCTGTACTTCTGTACCCACTCAAAGGTAAGCTCTACAAGTCTCACAGACCCCTGCACTATGGTTGCATCTTTGCCTCCCTCTCCACTTGGTCATTCACAAAATGAATGAGGGGTTTGTTTTAGGACTGACCAGAAGAGGGAGATGGATATACAACTGCAGCACTGGGATCTATGGTAACCGCAGCGCTTACAATCAAGTGGACATGGAACAGCTGTAGGATACAGCCAAAATTACTTACAGGGGTTTCTTTTCTTCCAACAGAATGTGGCTGCTGTAATACTGGTGAGCTTTTTTGTACCTGGAGTTGGTCTTTAATGTTTAGGTAGGTGCTCACACTACAGAGTAAAACTATAGGAGACTGTAATGTGTGTGGCCAGCTGAAATATAACCCTTCTATAACATGGAGGGGGGTATTGTTCTGTAGTTCACAGAAGTGAGCTTGGCAGGGCTAATAATGCTTGAAATTATAATGCATGGTGCACAGAAAACTTACAAGTTTACTGGATTTCAGTCAGGATCACCTGGAACTTTTTTGCACTTAACAAATGAATATAGAGTAAAAAAAATGCTGTAACTTGTATATCGATCAATATTGATGTACTGATGGCCTATCTCATTTCTTGAGGTCTGAAAACACTAAAACAGTACAAATTACTCCTTTTTGGAAAGTAGACAATCCGAGGTATTTATTAAGAGGCATGGCGAGTTTTTTGAAGTTGTAATTTTTTGTCACAATTTTTGAAAATATTTCTTTTTTTAAGATATTTATTTTCTAACACAGTGTGACCAGGGCAATATAATGTTACCATAGTAACAATGTACTACTCTGGGGAAGTGATCAGGATTTCTTTTTAAAAAACACATTATGATCGCTTATACCAGTGAATTTCACTGGTATAAGCAACAATTTTTACTGAACGAAATTTATTCATTCAGTGTTTACTATTGTGTTTAGCTGTGATTGGCCACAGCTAATCACATGGCACAGATGGGCTGTAATTGGCCCTGTCTGTACCATGTAATCACTGTGACCAATCACAGTGACAAACACAATAGTACACAATGGATGGCATGAATGAACGCCATTCATTGTGTACAGTTGTCATATGATCTGCTGTGATTGGCCACAGCGATCACATGGCACCAGCAGCAGCTGGTACACCGTACCATGGCCCATTCTGGAAGGATGCCATATGACGTCCACCTGGAATGACGAATGTCCTGCCCATCCATCATATCACAGTAGGCTGGAGAGAAAGTGGTTAATGGATCAAAAAATACAAATGTAGTGCTAGCCCGCAGAAGGTGCTTGGTAGATTGGATTTTCTGTTCTTCTGCCTTGACTCTGAGAACAACCTTAGCCCCAGTGGCACATCAGGTTAAGCAAATAGATACTGCACTGCTACTGGGAGCACAAATATGGATACTCTGCACACAATTAAGGATCAGTATCAAAAAGAAAACATCAGACTGGTTAGTGGTAAATGAATCCAATATACTGTCGTGGCTTGCAGTAAATAGCAGTATACACATAAAGTAAATGAATAGGTCAATCACAGTTCACTAGACAATATGTTCTCTAGGCTATAGCAGCATAGAATGGAGTTCTATGCAACTAAATTTGAGTAAACCTGGCAATCCACAAAATCAGCAAAAAGTAATGGCATTATAAAACAGTAACAGCAATGATAATCAATACTGCGATAATGCCTCTGTAAACAGTAGGCTATATCCATTTTAGAGTGCACTCTATATGAAGGGCAGCAATGAAATTTAAAACTCCCTAAAGAGGTATCTCTTACTTTGGACAATTGGCAGCAGGGGTGGACTGACAACTCATAGGGCCCCCAGGCAATAGGGGATCATGGGGCCCATGTGTCCTCGCCCACGCCCAAAAAAAGCCTATGAAAAAGCAAATGAAAGGTACTAGGGGCATCTCATGGGGCCCCCTGCTGAGCCCAGGCCCTCGGGCAGTGCCCGAGTGCTTGAATGGTCAGTCCGCCCCTGATTGGCAGAGTTCTTGTGAGGCAGCTATCTGTGTGTGCAGTCTTTAGCCCTAGTCCTTCAGCCAGCTAGCGTTGGGGCCCAGTCTTTATGGTGTTGCACATGAGTACAGTCTCAGTAAAGTTTGCATGCAGTAAATAATGCTGTTAGTTAGATGGCCAGTCCCCATGTTATCAGTCTCTGATAGCAGCAACAAATTAATGGCAGCGGTGTCCTCTCACCAGTCCCAACGATACAGCATCAGGGGTCTCATTGTTCAGATGTCAGTTTACTTCTGAATCTGCTTGGAGTGACACACAACCGCAAACTTGTGGCAGGTTGATGTGTACACCTCAGTCTTCTTGCAGGAAAAAAAAAGAGTAATTCAGCCTGTGAAAATTACAGCTGTCTTCTTTATACCTGGCTTGCACTGGGCATTGTAGTTTAATCATCCATTAACTGTCATAGTAAGGTTTCTTCCCTGAACTTCATCTCCCATAATTCAATACTGCTAACCACTAAGTCTCTTGAAGTTGTTCTTGTCAGCTCCGCCTGGTGGGTGAAGGCGAGGTATTGTTAACCCATTCAGCTGAAGTTGATTGGGAGCACAGAGAGCACTACAGCACAGTGTCCTAAATCACCCTCTGTCTCTAATCAAGCACCTGGCTACACATACAATGAAACTTCAGCTCAGAAAATCCTGGTTAGTTGCCAGGAGTTGCTACACTTTGCTCCCTGTATTATTTATTAAAGATTAATTCCAGCTAAACCATTTGTTTATTTTGGACACACTGGGAAAGGGTTGGAACCTCTGTTAGTTTTTTTTATTGCTCTCAGCATCCTGGTAACAAGGGTGTGAATGGGACAGAAGTAATGGAAAATCTTGATAATGGGTAAGTGTGCAAAAAAAACAAACACCTTTTTATTTTGTAGAATGAGGAAACAAAATAATATTTTCTGGTTCTTATTGCCCTCTGTGTATGTGTGGGGGGGGGGGGGGGGGGGGGAGGAACTTTCTCCACACTAGTCCAAATCCTCTATTGAAATACACATAGGACAGCTTGGGCTCTCCGACACCACTCAAATGGCCCTCTTAGTTCAACAACCTCTCTCTCTCTCAGACCTTTCTGGGTAATCTGCAGAGAAGATAGTGATCCTCTGTGTCTAGTCACTTGAAGAACATGCACCATGACCATGTCTTTATAGTGCAGAGAAGTCTCCACAGCAGCAGGAAGAACAGACACTTTGGACTCACCCCAATCGTTGTTGAGTGCATTTAGTAGTCCAGGTATTTTACTGAGTATCGAAGAACAGTACAGCCATTAAAGCAGAGCTACATTTACCTTTGCAATAATGCCACTGATGAGCTGCACTGATAGGCACAGATGGGACTGCCCTAATAATCAGGGCACTGATAATCAGTACCCTGATTGTCAATGTAAACAATGTACTCATTGTGCCCTATCAGACTTGTCTGTTTATCGGCTCTCCTTTCCTCACACAGAGACAGTGTGTTAGGAAATAAATATCAATAACTGGCAAGTCTGTTTACATGTGACCATCTGTGATTGGACACAGCTGATCACATGGCAAAGGGCCGCTATTATTGGCATTTTACCGTGATCTGTGCTCAGCTGTGTCAGATAGGCGGGAGGCGTGCACGTGGGGAGTACGTCCATGGATGTCCTCCCAGAACTGGAGAACCATGGTGTAGCCGTCTCTCTGCTATAGCGCGGTCAGGAAGAAGTTAAAACGTGTTTTTTGTTGTGTTTATGAAGTTTTGAAAACACTTTAAGAAAGCTTGATAAATTCCCATGGAAGTTTTTCTTTTCACATGGTAAAGGTCCGCTATTGTAAAGTGGCATCAGAATCCACGCTGGTTCATAAAAACATAAGCTGCCAGCACTACAGTATATTCTGATACAAACATTACAAAGCATACATATAAAAGTGCAGCGCTAAAAATTAAAATACTATATAATAACTTAATTGATACAATAAAAAGCAAAAAGAACACTGTGAAATAAATAAATATTGCAAAAGGACACTGTGAAAAGTCTTACTTTAAAACTTACCTTTTAGTGGAGCTTGTAGAGAGATCAGTTAACCGCGTATAGGTTGCAAGCCAACGATCCCCGAAGGATGGATAGGATCTGCAGATTGGGGAGGATAATGGATTGGACTCCGATCCATTATGCTCAATCCGCAGATCCGATCCATCCTGCGGGGATCATTGGAGGGGGTGTCACCAAGTGTTCCGGCACCAGGTGACACCAATCCTAGGGACGCCCCTGCTCAGGATGTATACTTCCGGGTGCTGTTCCACCTCTTCTGTGAGTAGTACCAATTTATTATCAGCCTTCATGACACTTGCTGACACTGTCCCTTCCATGTACTTACATTTGCTGATGAGGACTTTTGCTGATACAAAAACTTTGCCTTTGGCAATAATGCTCAATGCCTCTGCTCCTACCTGGCACAGTCAGTATTGCTGGCTGGCTTGATTCTTTTGCCAGCACACGGAAGCAAATGGAGTTACCACACAGCTGCTGTGTACAACCAGGAGTCTGAAACCGCTCTGTCCTAGTTTCCTGTTGTTTCCCAGTGCATTCTGGAATACAGGAACCTCCACCGTCTCCCCCAATGCCCAGATAACACT